TCCAAGCGCACGGTGGGCGAAATACAATGTGTTGAGTGAAACTCGCCTCAATATCCGATGATGATTGCACTGCCACAACACCCAACTCTTTCAAAACAAAATTCCCGTTTCTGCGGAACCCTGGTAGATCAATGATCAATTCTATGATATCACTACTTTTACTTATAAATTTCTAAAAGACTCAATAAAGCCAAGCAGCATGTAAGCTCCTTCCAAAGCGGTATCAGTGCCGTGCTCTCTCGAGATAGTCACCACATCATCGTCTGCTCCACCGTTCTCCAAGCCCCTCACTGGCTGCCCCTTCCCACCACCGGCTTGCTCCATCTCTTTCATCTCCTCCAACGTTTCTATATCTGCACTGCCCTCCATCCCATTGGATGACTCACATATTGGGTTGTCTTCATCCTCCAATGAACTACTATCTTTGTCAGCACACTTTTCTGCTAAAGCCCCTTTAATGAAGATGAAAAAATCATTGTTTTTCATGAGNCCACCACTGGCTTGCTCCATCTCTTTCATCTCCTCCAACGTTTCTATATCTGCACTGCCCTCCAGTACATTGGATGACTCACATATTGGGTTGTCTTCATCCTCCAATGAACTGCTATCTTTGTCAGCACACTTTTCTGCTAAAGCCCCTTTAATGAAGATGAAAAAATCATTGTTTTTCATGAGGATCGTGCGGACACCAACTAGTGAGAGATGAACATCAGTAATACCATCCGTTGCTTGCACCGCTTTGTCAGTATGATAGATCAGCGTAGGCACTGGAAGTTGCATCAACCATTCCAAGGGATGTGGACATTGTGTAGAAGACGATAATAGGAGGTGTCTGCATCAGCTGCTCCTGCTGCATCATCAAACGATTGATAAGTCTGGTCCCACACAAAAAAAGATATTGGTTCTGACATCTTCANCGATGTAGACATTGTGTAGAAGACGATAATAGGTGTCTGCATCAGCTGCTCCTGCTGCATCATCAAACGGTTGATAAGTCTGATCCCACATAAAAAAAGATATTGGTTCTGACATCTTCAAAATGTTGATTCATAAAATTTTTAATTGTAGTCGTCAATTTGGGGAAAATGAATGATAATAATTATCGAGTGGTATTATTGAAATTCAAGAGAGTACT